CATCCGGCCACACTGATTAAACAAACAACAAATTGGCAGATTAAAAAAAAAATAAAAAAGGTAATATCCACTACTGGCAAATATACAGGAAATTGGGCACTTAGGATACACGGCTTACAGGAGGGTGCATGGTGTAACCTTTCTGGAGGGCAACTGGCAATATGTGATAAAAGGCTTGACATACACATTTCTTTTGATTCGGTAATGCCATTTTCAGGATTTCATCTTAAGCACATAACGAAGGATTTGTGCAAATATTTGGCTCCAAGGTTATTCACTGCGGCACTGTTGAAAGAAGTGTGAACCTGGGAGCCACCTAAATTCCAACATCAGAGGTGGGTGAGTAATCCGCGGGCCCTGCAGCCTTAAGGCAGTGCTGGAAACAGGTTGTTAACGACATGGAAAGATGACTAGATACTGTGAACAGACGCCTGGTGTCTGAAATGCATGGGATGTAAGATAAACGTACTTTCATGTAATATGCTCAGTGTACTTTTCTTTAAAAAATTATCTTAAAATGTGACTTTTAGAAAGAAGAAGGGAGGGAAAGGGCAGAGAGAAAGAAAGAGAGAAACATTGATATGTTGTTCCACTTATTTATGCATTTACTGGTTAACTCTTGTATTATGCCCTTGACCGGGGGGTGGGGTGGGGGGTTGAACCTGCAACTTTGGTGTATTGCGACGACACTCTAACCAACTGAGCTACCCAGCCAGGGCTCAAAATACTGTTCTTCAACTTCCAGACACCTTCTCAGGTGACTTATCTCTAAACTTAAAGCCATCAGCGATTAAGTCCAACTGTCAATCTGAAAAATCCTATATAATAAAAGCCCAGCAACCAAACAGCAGAATGACCAGAACGACCAGTTTACCAGTCACTATGACAAGCACTGACCACTAGGGGACAGACCTCAATGCAGGCGTTGCCCCCTGGTAATCAGTGAGCTCCCACAGTGGGAGCGCTGCTTGGCTGACTGGGATGAGTGGTGCTCCCACAGCATGCTGATCCCTGCAGGCCACACCCCCCCACCAGTGCACAAATCTCGTGCACTGGGCATCTAGTGTACAATAAAAACACTATTTTTTTCCTGTGTTTCTAGACTTCTTAGATAAAAGTGTAGTTATTATACTTCTCCAGATGAATAATTAAGCCCAATGCTTTCATTTTAGAGGTCTTACACCTGAAAATACATCAAGCATGTTCTGGGAAAATGTAACAAGCATGTAACATGCTACTTAAGTGAGCCAACACCAGGAGAATGCCTGGCCCGTGTCTATTTTGCAGAAAAGGGCCAGGAAGAGGCAGCACTGTGTCACCATGGTTATTTCTGGGACATGGACTCTGAGTGCTTTACAATTTTTTCCCCTCTTTTTAAAAATTTATTTTTATTGATTTCAGAGAGGAAGGGAGAGGGAGAGAAAGAGGTGGAAACATCAATGATGAGAGAGAATCATTGATTGGCTGACTCTTGCAAGCCCTGTAATGGGGATCAAGCCCACAACCTGGGCACGTGCCCTTGGCCCAAATCGAACTCGGGACCCTTCAGTCCGCAGGCCAACGCTCTATCCATTGAGCCAAACCAGCTAGGGCTTTGCTTTCCCCCCACTTTTATTATGTTGAAACACTAAATACAAATTATTTTGTAATCCCAACAAAACTACTTATTTAAATGTAAAGCATCCATTTGTAATAATGTAAGAGGCTGTTTCCGCCTGCATCTGAAACCTGGAAATCTGGGAAGGCAGGGCTCTGGTGTCCGGGAGTCCCAGCTCCAGTCCCTGGCGCTACTGTAGGAGCCGGGACACCGTGGAAACAAGAACAGACAGGGCCCCACCCACCAGGAACATGGCTGGCCAGTGGGAGACACAGACCTTCATCGGATCATGACCGACACGCTGTGGGTGAACACAGAGGCTCTGAAGGGTAAGGAACCTAGCTCTCTGAGAGCAGACTGTGAGGCAAAGAAACCATCCTAGGCTTGGGGCGAGGGCACCCCTTTCTCCTTGAGGAAGCGACAAGAGGTAAGTCACAAAGGATGAGCAGGTGCTCCTGGGGAAGGAGGCGGGGCAAGGCTACACCGGGTCACCTACCCACGCACCTGGGGTGGGAGATGTTACGATGCAGCGGCCCTGGCAGGACTCGGGGCCTGTAGCCCATCTCAGTTACCAAGAAATCGCTCTCTTATTCCACATGCAGCAGAAACAGTGGGTCTCTCTGTAGTTCCTTCTCTTGTACCTTGTACTCCCCCCGACCCCAAATAAATGGTGCACCACCTAAGTCCCAGAGGTTACTCCCAGGTTCCTGTTCGGAGTGACGCTGACACCCGTCTGCCGTACCTGCCTCGTGAAGGATGCTCCGGCAGGAATCCTCTCCCAGAGGCTCTCACCCGCGAGGCAGGAGGGCCGGGCGCCCAGAGGTGGGGGCGTCTGGGGACCCGCGATCACAGACTCACCTTCCAGAGCAGCACGGCCAGCAGCAGGAAGATGAGGATCCCCACCAGCAGACTGATGGCGATGATCCACCCCACGACGTAGCCACGGGGCTCCAGGTTGTGCAAGGCCTCGAACACCACCTAGGAGGCGAAGGGAGCAAGAGTGAGAGAGCTTCCTGCCGGGAGTGGCGCTGACAGGACGGAGCCCAGCCTGGGCTTGGAGTGAACCAGAGCAGACACCACCCCTTCCCACCTGAAGGCAAATGGAAGAAAAGCTGCCTACAAAACCTGGCAGGCGCTCTGGGAACGGACGTGAGGCTTCTTTGCGACGCATGCCCACTAGCTGTGTGACCTTGGGCAAAGCCCCTGACCTCTCTGAGCCTCATTTTTCTTATCTGCACAACAGGGATAGAACAGCATCTCCCAGAGAAGCCAAGGGTAATGCAGACAGACCCCCAGCACAGCACCTGGCAGAGCTCACCCAGGACGTGTGGGGGAGTGGGGGGCGTGCTCCTATTAGCATCATCATGGCTGGCAGGGACATTCTTTTTGAGGTCGGGCATGGTTGGCTACTTTTTAATTTTTAAAAATGATTTATTGACATCCAATATAGAGAAAGGTTTACCTAACCTAAGTGCACAGCTCACGGAGTTTCCACGCACTCAATGCTAAGCGCATCTGCGGAACCCATACCGAGATCGAGTTCTGAATGTGACCAGCCCCACAGGAGCCCCTTCACCCTCCTTTCCAGTCTCATCTCCCACCGAGGGGAATGCCAGCCTGGCTTCCACCAGCCTGGATTGGCCTTCCCTGCTTTTGTCCTCGATGTACCTGGAATTCAACATCATGTTTGGGAGACTGAGCCGGGCTGTGGCCCGTTTGTTCTCATTGCTGGACGGCATCTCACCGTGTGAAGACGCTGTTGGTTTATCCAGCCACCCATGCAGGGGCTCTGACCAAGGATGATTTTCAGGCACGAGGCCACGCTGAAGGAGGGGTGCCTGGGAGTGGGAGGTGGCGGGATGGCAATGGGCTCTAACGTTTGTCACCTAAGCCCACTGTTTTCTATCTGGTTCCGATGAGAGAGTCCCGCCCCAAAGTCAGAGTCATGCCTTTGGGTTCCTGCCTCTAAGAAGCCGTGTGTCCAATCACCTCCAACATTTATTTTTTTTCCATTTGTCTGTCCAGATGAACCACATGACACTATTGGCCAAGAAGCGTGACTTGAGGCCACCAGGACACGACTCTGTGTCCTCCTCTGTGGACTGGGGCCTGAAAGGGACATGACATCGTTTCTGTAAGATCCCGGCGTGCGGTCGTGGAATAAAAGCTGCTGGAGCGCCTTGTTGACCATGAAGCACCGAGACCGGCTGTGAGCTCCCAGGGGGGCAGCTGCGAGGAGCAGCCCTTTGGGTGACCCTGTTGGCTTCTCGGGGACATTGCATCCCGGCGAAGCCGCCCGGGAGGTCTGGTTCCGTGGAGACAGACACAGGGAGAGTTTTCGCTACAGTTTAGTCTGGCAAGTTCCGCAAGAATGCGCCGTCACTTCCCCGGAATGCGTGCTTAATCTTTTATTATTTTTAGTGATGCCGGTCAGCTTCTTGGACGTGCGCTCGATGCTTTGGCAGGGCCGGTTCCCGCCCATCGCGGCTCGGATAAACTCCCTGTGGGTGGAGATCCCAGCAGCCTGCGGGTCTAAGAAGTCCCATCTTAGATGGAAACCCAAAGGGAAGACAAGCAGCCTGGGCTCCGGGGACAGACAAGACAAGCAGGTCTCGCCTCCACCACCGACGCATCCCGTCTCTAGACATCTTTTCTTTCTGACCCCTCATCCCACCCCCAGTGGCTGCCCCAGGTCAGGTCTGTTCTCTCACCAGCACCGTTTCAGGAGGTGGGGAGAGGCCTCACGGCTGCTGTCTTTGTAAAACACAGGACTCATCACGTTGCTTCTCAGCTTACAAGATCGACGGCTTCCCTTTATACTGAATCTGTATGACAGCACAGGGTACAAGCTGGTCCCCTCCCCAGATGTTCGTGTATTCATGACATTCTGGCCAATGAGCATCATCTCCCCTGTGAGACCTGGCTTTTTATCCCTCTGAATGCCTCTCTGTTCCCCGTGTGACAAACTCCAATACTGCTCACCTTACAAACGTTCCTATCTTTTGTTGTTGTTAATCCTCACCCGAGGATATTTTTTTTCCATTGCTTTTTAGAGACGTGGACGGGAGGGGGAGAGACAGAGAGAGAGAAACATCAATGTGGGAGAGACACATTATTGGTTGCCTCCTGCACGGGGATCAAGCCTGCAACTGGGGACGTGCCCTTGACTGGAATCGAACCCACAGCCCTTCAGTCCTCAGGACAACACTCTATCCAGACCGGTAGAGCTGTTTCTACCCTTTGATCCATGAGTTCTGCACTTAAACATTTACCCAAAACAGGAAAAGTTTTCTATTCAAAGAGGGTCACTGCAGAATTATTTAAATTGGTGCAGAAGTAGAAATATTCTGAATGTCCAACCACAGGGCAACAGGTCAGTCAGTCAGTCATGATCACTCATGAAGTGGAATCCCACAGAGCTACTGAAAATGGCGACGATAAATCTGGCTGTCAGTATGATTCTCAAAAACGTAAACCATGACTCTCATATAGAAATATAGTGAATACATGTTAATTAAAGATGCATTTCATCCGTTACTGTGGGAATTGGCAGGCTGGGAGAGGCAGTTCGAAGAAGGCTCTGACTACAGGGTGGGGCAAAAGTCGGTTTACAGTTGTGAGCACCAGAAATGCAGAATTTATTTTTTAAAAATGTGTTTTTATTGATTTCAGTAAGGAAGAGAGCGGGGAGAGAAAGAGAGAGAGAGAAAGACATCCACGATGAGAGATAATCAGCGACTGGCTGCCTCCTACACGCTCCCCACTGGGGATCGAGCCTGCAACTCAGGCATGTGCCCTGACCCAGAATCAAACTGTGACCTCCTGGTTGATAGGCTGATGCTCAACCACTGAGCCATGCCGGCTGGGCTAGCATTTATTCTCATATTATTACTTATTAATTACTGTATTATTTTCCATAAGCACAACTGTAAATGTGTAGTCACGGAAAAACAAACAAACAAAAGAATTCTGAAACTAGATACAAAACTCGATAATTCCCGAGACGTGCATATATTATAGCTTATATAACCTTTTGTATTATATTTTCAGCCAGACCGAAATCACTTTCATCTTTTCTGGTGGAAGTCGTTTATCAGTTATCCTCTCCTATGGGTTAACATGGAACTTCACAGAAGCTGGGTCCTAGAAGGTCAAACAGGCCGGTGGCACCAGCGCTGTTCTCAAGTTTCAACGTGTGCGAGACCACAGGGAACCCGATCACAGGGCGGGTTCTGAACAGCCAGGCAGGCGGGGGCCGGGGACTCTCCATGTCCAATAAGCCCCGGGCAGGCCAGGGCTGCTGGGTCGGGGCCACATTTCAGGAGAAAGGGACAGAGTTTGCTCCAAGATGCCAGGTAGGACAACTTTTTGACTGATACCAAGTTTTAAGTTCTTTGAAAATGTGACAGTAACAGGGGGGAAATAATAAATGTTCTAATGGTGAGTGAAGAAAATCAGGATATCAATTTAATATATAGAAGACTTCAGCTTTGCAGAAAAACAACAACAACAACACAGTAGAAACATTTAAAAGTCAAAGGTGGTTTCTGAGATGATGGCTGCTTTTTTCGTTTCTATTTCTTACTATTGAACATGTTTCTCACTGAGCACTTAGAGCCAAGTTAAACAAAATTAATGAGAGAGGCCCTGCCCCAGCGCCCCCTCTTCCCAGAAGCCTGCCCACTCCTCTCTTCAGCAGAATGAATCATTCTCGGAGCTTCTGGAAACATGGCAATTTCCAACGCTTTTAGCAGAGAAAACCCTACTGGAGCATCTCAATGTATAAAACAGAAGAATGTGGAATCTCTGTAAAGATGGGCAGCCAGAGCCCTGCCTGCTCAGCCCCTTCCCAAGCCTCTCACCCTCCAACTCCACTTCCACCCCAGCCCCAGCCACCCCTGAGCCAACTCAAGGGAGCCCCCAGCTCCACAAAGCTTAGTTGTGAAACCACAGTGAGTGCTCCATAGTCCCATTTCTAAGTCCTTCTCACTGAAAGGTAATGATGTACCTTCCTGTCTACAGACCCACACAAACTGTGAGTTCTTCGAGAACAAAGGGTGAAATGCATGCTCTCCTGTCACCTACACCACAGGCAGGGATGCGTGCCGTGACTCATGAATGCACAAATGAATGAAGTCAGCGTTGTCTACCAGAACGTCAGGTGAAGCATGGATGTGACTCAGTCTGCAAGCAAGGAGAAGGTGGGACTGGCAGCTGGAGTCTCTGTGCTTCTCCTTGCTCTACTTCAAAGATGCATCTGCAAATGTTATGTCTTTGGAAGAAGTCCTGGCCATCCATTTATCCACCTGCCCACCCCACCGACTCATCTGTTGGTCCATCCACCCACCCACCTGCTCCCATTCATCCATCTGACAAATGTACATGTAGCACCTACTATTGCCAAGACTGTGGGGACTCATTGATGAGTAAAACAGGCAGTCTTTGCTCTCATGGAGCTTTCTGCTTATAGACAATACTGGCCAGAGAGACACATGCACGCAAAAGTGTAACCCTGGAAAGTGGCCCCAGGGAGAGGTTCATGGTCCTAAAAAGCCTGAGCTAGGCATGGCAGTCAGGGAGCGCTCCGTGCTGAACAGCTTGAGTTGAGAGTTAGAGGATAAGCAGATGTGAGGTTGGAGCAAACAGGTTGAACCAGAAGCCAGAGGAAGGAAGTTGTTCAAGATGAGTCTGGAGAGCTAGGCAAGGCTGCAGCCACAGTGAGAGTTATATGCTCCGTCTTAAGAAAATGGGAGGCTGTGGAGGGTTTTCGGCAGGGGAGTGACATGGCGGCAGAGAGGCCTCTAGCTGCAAAACGGATGCAGAGGAGAAGGAGAACGTTATGTGGGGGCTCAAGGAACAAACAGCCCCAGTAAGAGGGGTGCAGGGCGAGTGGTTTCCCCAAGGGAGAGCTATGCATCTGGTATAAAAAGAGAAAAGAGAGTGAGGATGAAGGGGGCGGGGTCCTGATAGCCTGAGAG